AACACATATGAAAAGGACAAATCAAATTTCAGAACAGAAGGGGGATGAGGGTGGGGAGGTAAATGTCTGTGAGCTAATGATATTAGAAGTGATAATTGGGGAAGCTATCTTTGTAATGGGTAAGATAATTAGCATCTTTGTTGAGACCTCAGCTTAAAGTGTCAAATTTAAGCATGAATGACAGTTCAGAGGATTCTCTTTCAAGTCCGGTGTTAAAATGTCTTTGAAGCAGGATGCAGGTAATCAAGTCATTGAGACAATGCCCTTTCTGGTTGAAATAGCAAGAAACTGTTTTTTCTTTGTGATCCTGTCTATTACTAATTCTATTACTATTTACATGCAGATATTTGTCTTCTGTGAAGTAGGGGATGTACTGTTATAATTTCAGCACACCTACTTACCCTGGCCAGCCCATGCTAACCTCATAATTGGGTAGTAGGATGTTAGAAATGCAGTCCTAAAGACTGAGTGTTCAGCCACTATTTTGATACAACTTTGCTTCTGTGCATAAAATTAGCACGTTTAGCATCACCGCTCTGATTGCAGCTTGAATGCTTTGAGAGAGCAGCATTAGCATAACAGATCCACATACAAACTAGCTCATGTGCTAGTCCATGGCTACTCAACTTTGGAAGCCCCGGGGGACACATGTCACGGGCAGCAACTGGGTGGTTGCATATACATGCAAACAGCTTCTTTCATACTGACTGGTATGAATACAAAGATTAAGCCTTAAGCTGCAGTGCCAGACCCAAATGTGACCAGTGTGAGACAGTCAGCATCTCTCAAGCTCTGCCTACTACACAGCCAGCACTTCCCACAGTGCCCCAGCACCTACTCCCTGGGGGCTAGAAATGCCAACTCCATACCCATCTGTTCTAGCCAGCTCATCCACTTGCATCTTTCAATGCTCACCCCGCCTGAGAGACGCCTTGCTGTCATGGAGTGTGACTCCCACTTTTTAAAAGATGCCTTTTTATCTCTCTCTGCTTCTTTTACATGGTTAACCCACGGTGACTCTTTTTTAGTTCTTTTACTGTGTTTTTTAGTTTGGGGTATACATTTATGTTGGGCCTCTATTATGGTATCTTTGAAAAGTGTCCATGCAGCTTGCAGGGATTTTACTTTAGTGTCTGTACCTTTTAATTTCTGTTCAACCACCTCATTTTTGCATAGTTCTGTGGAAGAAAACAAGCCTTCAGTCTACGTAGTGTTTAAGCAACAAGTAGCCAGAGGCAGTTTTATTACGAGCTGCAGCAAGGGAAAAACTGGTTTGGACGGGGGGGGGGGGGGGGGGGGGGGC